AAAAAAAAAAAAAAAAAAAAAAAAAAAAAAGTGTTCTGGGATAAGACAGTGGTGAAGGTTTCACAACTTTGTAAATATATTAAAAACTATTGAACTGTATACTTTAAAATGGTGAATTTTACGGTGTGAATTATATCTCAATTTTAAAATAGAGCGAAAAAAAGAAAAAGAAAGTTTACTTTAGCACCTATTATGCACCTTGCGGGGTACTGGGAACTGTACATAATCTTCTTGAGTCCTTAAGGTCCCCAGGGTTCTATGGTGCTACCACTATTAAAATGTTAGAGATGAGTAAACTGAAGCTCACAGAATGAGCCCACCCCCGCTGCACCTACTCACCTGTCCCTCGCAGGAGTAGTTGATCTTCAGGTAATAAGGAAAGCCCAGGTATCTCTGCAAAGAAGAGGTTGGGCGAAATGTCCAGAGCCGAGTGAGATACGGGTTCAGGATCCCTCTGGTTCGCTTCATCCTGGTCCCCTCACCTCGCCCGGGTCAATGGGCGCGTCCACCAGCATGTTGAACACGTTGCCCACTGTGTCCTGGGGCTCTTGATCAAAGAAGCGGTCGCTGGCGCTGTTGTTGCCTATCGTCTCAAACTTGTTCAGGACAACCTGCCAGGTGCACTCCTGGACATCATCGACCGCCCACAGCCTCCACGGCGCCAATAGCACCGCTAGCAGTGCCCACAGCGCCCAGAGGACTCGGACTCTTGGCCACGCAGGGCCCGCAGGGGACATGACTCGGCAGCGCACAACGTGGCTAGAACCTGGAGAACGCAGGGGTCAACGGCCCGCGTACAAGACGGCTCTCGAGCGGACTTCTGAGATCCGCCTCGCTTCGGCGCCCCGCCCCGCCTCGATCCTGCCCCGCCCCTGCTCCCGCTCCGGGCTCCGTACCTGCTACTCTGGCGGATCCCACCTCTACTATTACTCCGGACCCCGCCCCGCCTCCTCGTCTCTCCCCTTAACCTTCCCCCGCATTGATCCTCGCTCCACCGCCCCTCTGTATTCCGCCCTTGCTCTTCTCCGCGTCTCGGTCTCTGTTTCTCGCTTTGATCCAGCCCCGCCTCTTCTCCCTTGTCCTGCTCCCTGGGATCCCAACCCGGTAACTGCACTTGGCTCCGCCCTCACTTATTGCCCCGCCCCTCCACTTCTCTTCGTACCGCCCCTTTCTCCTCGCTCGGGCCCTGCCCGGGAACCGGGTCCTATACCTGGTCTCGACCGTCTCCGGGTCGCGGTCCCCGACCTTCTCCACGCCCCGCCCCTCCTCCGGGCCCCTCCCCTGTTTCTTGCCAGGGCCTTGCTCCCGGCTCTGCTTCCCCTCCTTGCCGCGCCCCTTCACCTCGCCCCGTCCCTTCTCGTCAGAGACCCTCTCTTCGCCTCGGGATCTCTCCTCAGCACGGGCCTTCCCCTCGCCCCGCTCCCTCTCCTCGCCCCGTACCTTCTCCTCGTTCCATGCCGGCGCTTGCTTGTCGGTCAACACTTTCTCAGTCCTCACCTTCCCCTCGAGCCGCGGCCCGTTTTTGCCCCGCTCCCTCTCACCCCCTCTTTCCATGCCCTCAACACCGGCCCGCCCCACGCCCGCCTCCTCTCGGCCCGCCCCTGCTCATCGCCCCGCTTCTTCTCTTAACCGCCGCCGGCTCGTCCCCCCGCCCTTTCTCCGCCCCTCCCCGCTCCCTCCCCTCCGCTACTCTGCCCAGTCCCACGACCCTCCTCTCTTCCCCCTGCTTCTCCCCTCCCGGCCTCCTCCCTCCCCTCCCCTCCTCCCGCATCCCCCTCGGATGGCACCGCCCTCTTGTGCCCGCCCCGCGGTACCAGTCATTTGGTTAAAACCGGTCAACCGTCACTTGGGGGCAGCAGTCACGCCCTTCTTGCCCTCTCAAAATGGTCGCCCGCACTTCCACAACCGACTTCCGCCTTTCCCGAGGCCCGCCTGTCTCCGTGGTAACGCGCATCCCCAACCTGCGCCGAGGGCTGGGGGTGTGGAGGCGGGGCCTGGCCGGCAGGGGGCGCTGGAGACAAAGTTCGCGCTAAGAAGCCCTTCAAGCGGCTCCTTTGCGTTGTGTGGTAGCGGGCACCGTCCCCAAAAAAAAAAAAATACAAAAGTTCTACTCCTAGAAAAAACAGTTTGTTTTCTAGAGACCTTGTGGGGATGAATTGATCTGTCTACCGCTTAACACCGTCCTCTACAAAATGTGGCCAAAGGCAGCCATCTCATTCAGTTGTGGGAAGTCAATGAGATAACACGTAAAGAGGGAAGCACAGTGCTGGGCACAAAAGTTAACGATTTTCATTTGTATTCTGCTGCCTGACAGTTAAGGACTCAGACAATGACTTTTTGATGAACTTCAAAGCTGACTTTAAACCAGTAGTTTTCAAACTCGAGCAAGCATTAGACTCACCAGAAAGTCTAGTTAAAACAGGTTAGTGGGCTCCACCCCCAGAGTTTTGGACTCGATAGATTGGGGATGAGACCCGAGAATTTGTATTTCTGGCAAGTCCCGGGTGATCCTGATACTGATGGTCTGGGGACCACACTTTCAGAACAAGTGCTGTAAAACCTTGATTCCCCAGGACCTCAGGAAAACATCCAAACTCCTCAGCTGGCTTCCAGAGCCCCACATAATCTCATCCCTGTCGTCTTATCTGGCTCGTCTTTCTCCCCGTAAGCCGGAAGCCAGCCGGAGATGGCGGGACGAGAAGACGAGCGCAGGATTAGAAAAGAGACAAGAGACAAAAGATGGGGTCAGGAGGACAAACAGTCTTGAGGGCTGTTGCGCTTTATTCAACAGGCATTTCTCTTTATATACTTTTCTAAGTGCAAGTCTAAACAAAGGGTTACTAATTCTGCGTAAGCAGCTGGATGCGTGGGTTTACAGGAATAGCTCACACTCCCAAGTTCTCAGGAATGCTCCAAGGTCAGAAGTCTAGACTTCTTCAAAAACATCTCCAGCTATTTTCAAAACAATTCTCTTTGAATCTCATGAAGCTTCGTCAGCTGGACGAGAGCTGTGCCCCCTAGGGGACCCCTGCGTTCAGGGCAGCTCCCTGTTTCCAACACCCGTAGACCTCTGCAGTCCACAGCCTAGTCACAGAGGAGCTACTTGAATATTCTTGATCAGGTGTGATCTCCTCCAGAGACCTCTGCAGAGTCTACAACACCCTCTGGAAAACTATTCCCTATTTTGTGAGGAGGCTGACCACTTTCCTTCCTTCAGATCTTTTTTTCTTTTTCTTTTTCTTTTTTTAATTTTTAAATTTTTTTGGCGGCTGGCTGGTACAGGGATCAAACCTTGGTGTGATCACTGCCACCCTGTAACCAAATGAGCTAACCAGCCAGCACTTCTTCAGATCTTGTCTGTGGTACGTGACCAGCCCCATCCCATCCCCTGACCTCTCTAGGCTATGATGGCTGGGAACGGGGTTTTCTTTTCCAGTGGATCACCAGCTAGGTGAGTGTGGAATATACCAATATTTATAAAGCAAAATGTATTTCACAGGGCCTCCAAAGCCCTGCAGTTTCAGGTTTAGCCTAACTTCTTAAAAGTACATATATAAATGTTAACCTTGCAAAAGACAGGAAACTTTCCCCAGGCTATAGTCTCTGCTATAGATGAGGAATTGTAACACAGCAAGGTTGCTTACTCAAGGACGGACAAGTTACTGATTGACATGTAAAGATACTGGGATATTGTTATGGGGAAAAACAGTGTTTGCTAAGATAAAGCTTTTGTTGGTGAATCAACTTAACCTTTTGCAAATTGCATTATGGAATGTCACTTTGTGTGTTACCAGCCTTTATTGTTAAACTCTATTTGGCCATAACCCCACCTATGTTCTTTTCCTGTAACTTCCTGGTCTGGAGAATAAATGCAGGGCGAGAACCCCAGTTCATGGTTAATTTCCCAAAAAGAAGGAATGCCTCTGGAGGGTTCCAGGAAATTAACACCTTTGGGGTCTCTCCACTGCTCAGAAGAAATGGGCTTTGAGTAATCCTTTTATAGCTCCATCACCCAGGGGAAGAAAGTTGACAAATCCGTGTGAGGCAAAGCAACAGGTGACGGCAGAGCCTAGGGCTTTCTCTCTTTCTCCTGCACTATTGTTTCCTAGCCCTGTCCAGCACAGTACAGAATAGGTGTTCTTACATAAATGACCAGCTGATGGAAGTCTATCCTTCCCACCCTAAGACCACCCCCACAGGCCAGGGAGGAGTGACTTCATCTGAGGGAAGAAACTCAGCAGCGAGGTACCTGAGCCCTTTGAGACTCATCAAAGAGTCAGCGTAACTAGGGTCTCCTTATAGCACAGTCAGCTCAGAAATACAGCCCCACCAAGGGAAGGTACCTTTGTTAGATCTTGATGTACTAGGTGTTCACTGCAGCATTGTTTTACCAGCAAAAGACTGGAAACCACACACACATCCATTTACAGACAATGTTGAAATGATTTATGGGACGTGTCCAAGAGGAGGCACTGCAGGTATAAAAAAGGATATGAGGTTCTACTTGGTTGTCTCTGGAGTGATCTCCAAATTACACTGTGTTGGTGAAAAAAACAAGATGCAAGATGCAGAAATGAAAAAAAGCAAGGTGCAGGAATGAGAATAATAATAATTAGCCAACATTTTATTGAGTGCCGGACACTGTTCTAAGGGCTTTACAGGTATTAAGTTGCTTACTTTTCCAACAAGTCCATGAGGTAGGTGCTGTTATCATCCCATTTCACAAATTAGCAAATTGAGGCACAGGGAGGTAAAATCACTTGCTCAAAGCCACATAGCTTGGGAGTGACAGTTCAGATTTACACCCACTGCCTTTGCCTCCGGAATCTACAATCGTAACCACCTTACAATAACTTGTTACCACTTGTGTAGAGTGAAAAATAAATGACACATACATGCATGTTGCTTGTGCATTCATAGAATATCCCTGAAAGGAGACCTGAGTCTGAGTGTTGGCAAGAGACTTACTTTTCAGTGTACACTTTTTTGTACCTTTTGAATTTTTTAGTGCACTTTTTTTCCTTTTTTCTTTTCTTTTCTTTTTTTTTTTGATGTCCTGAACTGGAAAAGACCTGGTTTCTTTTTCTAGGGGAATTTGGAAGAAGCAGCGAGGAGCAGAAGCCAGATCACATAGGCACCTCCCTTGAGAAGGTGAGAAGCATCTGCCTCCCCATCCCATGCTGACTTTAGCAACAAGGTTGGCAAAGACCCTGGCAAGGAGCTGAGTAGGCTGGGAGGCTGAGAAAGGGCTAGATAGTGGATATTCCTGAGCTCCAGTAGGAAAAGTTGACCAACCAAAACCTTGTTCAAATCCCAGTTTTGCACTTCTCTGTGACCTCGGGCAAGTTATTTAGCCTCTCTGGGCCTCCTTTTCTCATCAGTAAAATGTAGAGACTACCTAATTCACAGGGTTGCTGAAGGGATTAAATGTATCAAGGGCTTGGAACAGTGCCTGGCACATAGTATATCCCTTCTAAGTATTTTCTATCACTGTTATTAAAACAGGGTGGCTGGTTAGCTCAATTCGTGTTATAGCCATGTAACACCAAGGTCATGGGTTTGGATCCCTGCACCAGCCAGCCACTTAAAAAAAATTTTTTTTTCAAACTGTTATTAAAACAATCTTGAGTGGGCCGGCCCGGTGGTGCACTGGCGGTGGCGCTCCCGCTGAGGGTTCGGATCCCATGTGGAGACCGGTTCCCGCTCACTGGCTGAGCGCGGTGCGGACGCAACACCGAGGGTTGCGATCCCGTTACCGGTCAGTAAAAAAAAAGACAAAAAAAAAAGGAAAAAAAAAAAAAACAATCTTGAGTGACTTTTTAGCGTCATTTGACAATGTTGAGTTCTTCCTCCTTCAAATTCTCTCTTCTGTTACCAATACTCTCCACCTCCTGGTTTTCCTGTTCCTCTCTGGCACTCCTTTCCTGTCTCCTATGTGAGCTCTTCTCTCTGAAATCAGGACATTGGTTGAAGGGTCACTGCTCACACTAGAAATAATCATGTCTGGTTGTGATGCATGGACCTGTGGCAGCCACTTTAGAACTATGAGGGGAGCACACATGGGAGCCAAGCCTTCAACTGAGGATGGCAGAGCAGAGATAGAGGGAAGCTGGGGCCACAAGGGTCTCCCATATCTCTGGACAGTATTATTCCTAGAGCTCTCCCCCACTCTGGCAATGAGCAATATAACAACCATCTCCTTACTGTTTCTGTGAGTGCCACTCAGGGTTTTGTTACTTGCAGCTAAAATCTTTCCTAAATGATATAAACATATAAATAACCTAAGGCTGATTACTCAGGCCTAGTCTCTGTTCACTCCTTCTTCTCTTGCCACAACCACCCTTGTGGCCTCAGTTCCTTCATCTCATCTCCAGCCTTGACCACCCCTCTGAGCCCTAGCCCTGGGGTCCTGGGACCACTTGACATCTCCCCCTGGGTATCCCTTTAGCCTCTCACACCCATCATATTCTACACTGGCCTCAGCATCTCCCCTCAAACCTGTTCTCTCTTCCCATCTCAGGGACCACCGATCATTCCTTGGGCCTTCCCCTGGCCTTGTCTCTCCCCAGTCTGTAAAGCCTATGGCTTGTCTGCTTGGTTCCTGAGCATCCCTCCACTCCTTCCCTTCCATGGCCCTGCTCAGACCCATAATCTCCTGCTTTGTTTCTGGCCCAGCCTCCCCCTAGGAACCCAGCCTGTCTCCCCCTCTGGTCTACCTCCACACAGCAGCCGGGAGATCTTCCTAAAGCCCAAACCTCACTATAACCCTCTCCTACTCAAAACCCTTCCATGGCTCTCTCGTGCCCTCAGGAAAGAGGCCAGGCTCCCAAGCTTGTCATTTAAAGACACTAAGATGTGCCTGTGTCCACTTGTCCACCCTCCTCCCCCTTTCCGTCCATACCCCAGGCACAGCAAACTACTTGCCAGAAGCTGATGTCCAACATGCTTTCCTCCCTGCAGGCCTTTGCATGTTCCTTCTGCCTGGCATGCCCTCCTCATGCCGTTTCTATTGTCTGCTGCCAAGGTCCGACTCAAATGCACCGTCCCTTCTGCGGTGGATAGTAAGAGCTCAGGAGATGAGCCCTTGGCAGAGAGGTTAATACTGATGCACCATCCTGGGTGGGGGAAAATCTGGGGGGATTAAACATAAAATCAATTGCTTCCTTGATCTGTGGCTAAGTCTAGGGACCTCCCCTCTCCGTGCCTCAGTGTCCTCATTTACGGAAAGGGAATGATTGATATTATCTCCCTCATATGTAAAGTACTCAGAACGGGGCCTGGCCGAGGAAAGCACCACAGAATAACACAGCAGGCTCTGTGAAATCGTCCTCTGAAGCAGTACTATTATGATCACCATTTTACAGATGAGAAAACAGCATCAGAGAGGAGGAGTGACTGCCCAGGCAGGACATGGCTGAGTTAGGATTTGAGCCCAAGCAGGCTGGCTTCAGAGCCCACTGCAGGACATGTAGTTAGCACTCAGTAAATGGGGAGAACTGGTATGAGGTGTGGTGGCTGAGCAGCACCTTCCATGCCATTCGGATCTGGGCTGGGACCCTATGTCAGTTTCCTGCCTGCCAGGCTACTGAAGAAGATTCCATCACTCAGGCCTCCACTAGGGCTCTCCACATGGGTCTTGCTCCCTGGAGATATCTGCGAAAAAAGGATCGGGTACAGCTTCTCCCCCTGACTAGTCCTTGTATTTCAGGTCTTAGTTCAGTTGTCCTTTCCTCCAGGAAGCCCTCCCTGACCGGCCAGGCTGGATCAAGCACATTCCCTGTGCTCCCCCCACCTCAGCCCTGACCATTCTGCCTGTGCTTTCTGCATCACACCCCTGATTACTCCACGTCCCCCATTGAAGTCCTGCCCATTTTGGGTTGTCACTGCCAGGAACAGGTTTGTCTATCTCACTGGACTGTGAGCCCCATGAAAGCAGGGCCAAGGCCCTTCTCCACAGCTACTGTGTCTCTGGCACTGTGTAACACAAGGCCAGCCCAGAGGAGGAATTTTGGGGGTTTTTGTTTTGTTTCATTTTGTTTGGGGGCAGCTGGCTGGTATAGGGATCAAACCCTGGACCTTGGTGTTATGAGCACCATGCTTTAACCTGGAGGAATTTTTGGATGAGTGAATACTCTTTCCATTTGACAGTTGAGGAAATCAAGGCTCAGAGAGGGACAGTCACTCGTCCAACGTGTAGTGACTATGCTAGTGCCTGAAATGAGGCCTGAGCCTAGAGCCTGGTAGAGTAAGCAATTGATGGATGGATGGTTGAGTGAGAGAGACAAATGGAATGGGTTAGAGAATGAAAAACACAGTAAGAGGGAACGACAGAGGCAGTGAGAAAGCCAGAGAGACACAGAGTACGAGGGGAAATAAGGGAAAGGGAAGGAGATCAGGGTGATTTTGGCAGCCAGTGGGTCTCAGGACTTGGAATGCCAGCTGGGGGCTGTAAAAAGGATGGTCAGTTGGCGGCAATGCCTCGTGAATGTGTGTGCGTGTGCTTCTGGACATTCTTGTATGGTCAGCTGTAGTCACAGGGCTCTCAGCTCCAGGCCGGCTCCATCCAGCCTTGCAGTACCTGCCCCAGCTACCTGGGAATGGAGGCATAGTTGGCATGGGAGGTGGCAGAGAGCTGCTGGCGTGGCTCCAGCTGGGGGCCCAGAATGTCCGCCTGATCGTCTTCATCCTCATTGAAGCTGGCAGGGCCCGGAGCAGGAAGCAGGATGAGCTCTGTGAGGCCGTGAAGGTCGGACACGTGGCGGAAAGTCTGCAGTACCAGCACCATGGCGACCAGTCCCAGGAAGAGGTAGACTGCAGAGATGGCAGAGGGCCATGGGTCGACTTGGGGCTCAGATCCAAGAGGCAGGGCAGTGGTTCTACAGGATCCCCCAGGGTGGGGTTGGATCCATTTTGGAATCCCTGGGGTGGGGCACCCCTTGAACTCCCCTCTGGGACAGGGCCATGTCCTCCTCAAACCCCACCCTTAGGTGCCCAACCAGCCACATAGCTCACCTGTGACTAGCACCTTATAGAGGGCCCGGTAGGGCTGGCCGGGGGCCTCCCCGGGCACGTAGTCACCCAGGCCGATGGTGGACAGAGAGATGAAGCAGAAGTAGAAAGCATCCAGGAAGCTCCAGGATTCCTCGAGGTGGGCAAAGACCACAGCCGGCACCAGGAAGCAGACAGTCACTACAACCCCCAGCAGGGCCACCAAGTGCCAGCGGCCTGCCCGCCGGGGGTCCCAGCCCCAGCGCACCCTCAGCCAAGACAGGGGTGTGTGGGTCAGCAGCAGCGACAGGCGCTGGGCCGAGGCGGTCAGCAGCAGCATGGTGGTCGGCACGCCCAGGAGTGCAAAGGCAATGGAGAATGCCTTGCCCGCGTCAGTCAGTGGCGTCGTGTACCCGTACCCTGTGGGGCAGGAAGTGAGGAAATCCTTTGCCCACTCGGCACCTCCACTGAGGTGTCTGTGGACACCATAACCGAGACCTAATTTCTTCCCAAACCTGCCCTTCCCACATTCCTTCTTGTCTCAGCTGCTGGCACCTCCCTCCTTTCGCGGCCCAGGCCAAGGGGTTCGTCCTTGATTCCCTTGTCACTCATGCCACATCTCATGTTGGTGAAGCCTGTTGTCTCAACCTTCAAATAGATCCAGAACCTACCTACCCCACCCAGTCCCATGGTCCCCAGCCGGCCCCTGTCTCCCATAGCAGCCTCCTCTGGGCACTCCCTTCTCCCCTGATCCTGGCCCCCACAATCTGTTCAGCCAGAGGGAGCCTGTGAACACCTGAGTCAAGTCATGTCCCTCCCCTGCTTGAGCCCTTCTGTGGCTCCATCTCATTCAGGTAAAAGGACAGAGTTCTCAGCATGACCCAGGAGGCCCTGCACAATACAACAGGGCGGCACACACCCACCTCAGGGCCTCTGTACCGGCTGTCCTTCCCCTGCAAGACACTCTTCTCCCAGGCACCCACATGTTCCCCTCTCCCCTCCTTCAGATATTTGTCCAAATGTCACGTTCTCAGGGAGGCCTACCCTGATCACCTTATTTTAAATTGTAACACCATCTTACCCACTCTTTATGTTTTCCATCACAATTAACACCTTCTCACATACTATATGGTTACTTATTTGGTTACTTGCCTCCCCACTAGGGTGTCAGCTTCAGGGCTGGGGATTCTGTCTGTTTTGTCACTGTTGTGGGCATTCAATTAATGCTTGTCAAAATAATGCAGGTTCCCACCTGGCTCTGAGCCTGTTTCCTCCACTATAAAATGGGTGTGACAAGCCCCACTAGGCTCCCAGAGGATGATAGGAACACAGTAAGATCATTGTGGAGGTGAGTTCTGCAAACAGAAATATGATAAAGGGGAATTCAGGTGTTGGTGAGACTGATTCACTTTGGCAAAATGAATCTGTTTTTATTTCCCAAATATATCAAACCAAAGGGTCAGAGATATGACTAGGATGGTGAGGGGCCAGTATGTTGACAGTAAAATGTCTGACCCCAAAGCCTGCAGACCCAGCCCTGTGGTCCATAATAAAGTATGGACATGTCACACACATGAGCAGGCATTCAACTGGGCCCATTTTCCATATAAAAAGATCCCATGCTTTTTTCTCTTTCTTTTTTTTTTTTTTTGTTTTTTCTTTCCCTCTGTTTTTTATGTACTCAAAATAATCAAAAGCAGAGTCTCAAAAAGATATCTTGACACCCATGTTCATAGCAGCATATTCGCAATAGCTAACACATGGAAGCAACCCAAGTTTCCATCAACAAATTAATGGATAAGCAAAATGTGGTATATACATAGAAGCTTAAAAAGGAAGGAAATTCTGACACATGTGACAACATGGGTGAACTTTGAGGACATTATGTTAAGTGAAATAAGTCACAAATAGACAAATACTGTACGATTCTACTCTATTAGGTAGTTAAAGTAGTCACATTCATAGAGACAGCAAGAACGGTGGTTGCCAGGGGCTAGGGGGTGGCGGGAATGGGGAGTTACTGCTTAATGGGGATAGAGTTTTGCAAGATGAGGGTTCTGGAGATGGATGGTGGTGACAGTTGTACAACAATGTGAATGTATTAGATGCCAATTAACTGAACACTTAAAAGGGGGGATCCTCCTGGTTTTTAGCAGACATACAGCCACCTGGAATAAGGACATTCTTCCTCTCTTGCAGCTAGGTGTGACTCTGTGACTAGTTTCTGGCCAATGAGGTATATATGAAAAAATCAAGCAACTTCCAGGAAGGGTCCTTAAAGAGAGAGCGATGCCCGTCTCCCTTCCTCCCTCCCTCCTCCTGCTGGCTGGAACAGACATGAAGGCTGGAGTTGAGCAGCTGTCTTGGACCATTAGGTGACCTTGGGGATGGAAACTGTATACAGAGGAGTTATGGTGGAGCATGAGGGTTTTTGCCAAGGAGCCTAGGTCTTGGGCCATGCGGTGCCATTCCAGTCTTGGGCTGACTACCTTAAATGTGAGCAAGGAATAAACTCCCATCTTATTTAAGCAACTGTAATTTGGGGCTTATCACTGATTCCAACCCTCATTAATTACAAGGGTTTTGATGGAGAGACACTAGCAGTGTGGCTGAAACAACAGGTTTGCAAATGACATGAAAAATTTTTTTTTTTTTAAAGATGACCGGTAAGGGGATCTTAACCCTTGGCTTGGTGTTGTCAGCACCGCGCTCAGCCGGTGAGCGAACCGGCCATCCCTATATGGGATCCGAACCCGGGGCCTTGGTGTTATCAGCACCGCACTCTCCCGAGTGAGCCACGGGCCGGCCCGACATGAAATTTTTTTGTTGTGTTTTGTTTTGTTTTGTTTTTTGGCAGCTGGCTGGTATGGGAATTTGAACCCTTGACCTTGGTGTTATCAACACCATGCTCTAACCAACTGAGCTAACCAGCTAGCCCTTTACAAAATCTTTATAAACAGAAAAATCAGGGCCGGCCCGTGGCTCACTCGGGAGAGTGTGGTGCTGATAACACCAAGGCCATGGGTTCGGATCCTATATAGGGATGGCCGGTGCGCTCACTGGCTGGGCACGGTGCTGACAACACCAAGACAAGGGTTAAGATCCCCTTTTTGGTCATTTTTAAAAAAAAAAAAAAAAAAAAAACAGAAAAATCATAGAGGTAGAAAACAATGGGGCCCATGAGCCTCAGCTTACTACCTCAAAGAGCTGAGCCCAAAACAGTGTTTTGCCATTTACTCCGTGCATGGCGTTGGCCAAGTGACTCCTCCTCTCTGAGCCTCAGTTTTCTACTCTGCAAAAATGGGCTCATAAGCAATCCCTTCCTCAGCTGTGGTAGTAATCCTACCACGGTGGGACAGGGCATAGCACCTTGCAGGAGTATGGAAAGAGTTACAATGACTATAATGCTGCTTCCTCTCTCCGGGTTCCCAGTTCCGGGTAGGGCTACTCCCACCCCTCCTCAGCCTGGATCGATTCCAGGGCCCAGGTTTTCTTCAGAAGACTTGGGCCTATGACAAAATGAGGGACCCTGTGGGAAGAGGTCTCTCTGAATGACATTTAATTGGCTTTCCATTTCTCCAGATACATTCAGGGCTCCTGGTTCCATTTACAATGATAATGATAACTGAGGCTCAATAAACAACAGCTATAATTACGAGCACTTCACAGTAAGACTCCCTCCTTGACAAAACTTTAGTCTGGCTCCTCTGAGCCCTGTCCTCAACTAGTCCCATTTTTAGCAAGAATCCTGAGAACCCCCTCACTCTTGATATCTGATCCTATTCCTCATCCCCACTCTTGACATCCAAGTTCTTGGCCTGTCTTCAGTAAGAATTTTGTTAAGCCAAGTTTAGCAAGAATTCCTCTACCCTGATGTCTCCTCTTAGTAATTTTCCATCCACTGGCCCCTTCATTCTGCTTGTCAGCTATAAATCTCAGCTGCCTTTGCTACATTCTGAGTTGAGGTCACTCTCTCTGCCCTTTGCAATAGCCTCTCTTCTACTGCAATAACTTTCCATTGTTACCAGGTGTCAGAATAACTTTTCTCATAGGGCTGGCTGGTTAGCACAGTTGGTTAGAGTGCAGCCTTATAACACCAAGGTAACAGGTTTGGATCCCTGTGCCAACTGCAAAAAGAAAAAAAAAATTTTTTTTCTCTTACGCACACCACCCTTCTTCATGCCTAGTGGTATGTTGGTTAAGAGCATGGGACTCTGGAGCCTGATGGTCTTGGTTCAGATCTTTACACCTTTCTAGCTGTGTGGCCTTGGGCAAGTTGTCCAGCTTCTCTGGACCTCAGTTTCCACTGCTTAAAATAAAAGTAGGGTCCATAATGGTACCTTGCTCACAAGGCTGTTGTGCCAATTGAGTTAAAGCAAGTGTGTGGTAAGCCCTCTATCAGGCTATTACTATTACTTTGAAGTGGGGAGTGTTATTATCCTGTTTTACAGAGGAGGGAGGACAAAGGCCTAGAGCAGGGATACCAACCCATGTTGTGCCTGCCTTGTGTCTGGCTTCCTTCACCTGCTCTGCCAGAGATGACTTCTCAGAAACCAGGATCTGGGAGGAGGCAGAGGGAGGCACTGATGCAACCCACGGGAGCCCAGGCAGCCTTTCCTGAAGTCCAAGATCAGGTCAGGCCGGCCCGGGCAGCGTGGGGAAGAGCAAGCCCCAGGGGAGGTAAGTCAATTGCTGTCTGAGGAATCATCCAGCTCTGCTGCCAGTGACTTTGGTTTGCTGGTCCACACACTGGGGCACTGAAAGCAAAAGCCACCCCCCTCCCCCGCTCCCATTGCTGGGCTGCTGGGCAGGTGGGGGAGTTAGGAGTCTGCGCCAGCCCTGCCCCAGCCTGTTCTCCAGTCCAAATCCCAAACAAAGAGACAAAAAGGACGTTTAGGGGCTGGGGAGGGGTTCTATGAGCAGCAGAGCCTAACAAAAAAGGAGTTTCCCAGGTCTGCATGCATGAGGAGGGAAGGGATTTCCCAGGGCCAGGGGTCCTCAAGGGCTGGAAGATATGGGTAGAGATGAGGTCAGTCCACTTGAGCGGGGATTTAGGAAAAGAAGTGTGGGGAGCAGTAATCTTAAATCATGGGCCAGTGTACTGGTTTGAGATAGATCCTGGTTTGGGGCTGGGGTCCTGGGTCCAAAGGAAGGAGGGGACAGGCACCAGTGGAGGTGTTTTCTGGATCAAAAATGGGACTGGGCTTATTACACCACAGTCATAGGTTCAGATCCCCACACCCCACCCCCAGCTGCCAAAAAAAAAAAGGAATTGGGTGGGGAGTCCTCAGGCAGAGGGGCTTCTGAGCCCAGGAATGCCCGAGGGGAGGTGAAGAGGTAGACATTGCTAAGGGGATGATGGGAGGTGGGTGTCTCAGGTCCTTGCTGAATGGAGAATTATAATGGTCTTGAGTGAATACTGGAAAGGGTTCTGGGGTGCAGAGGGCCTGGAGCATCTCTAATGGAGGGGAGAACTTTGGGTCCAAAATAGGCTGAGGCAGTGTTGGGGTGAAGAGGGAGGTCCCACCTGTGGGACTAGAGGAGATTGGAGGGGTCCCAGGTCCCCAGAAGATCTCCTTGTTTAGGAAATCCAGTGTAGGTTGGGGGTCTCAGGTCAGGGATAACAGATGGAGATAGCCAAGTCCCTGGGCTGGCATCCTGTGGTGGTGGGTCAGATGGATTCTGTTCTTGACCACAGTGTGGAGGGTGCTGGGACCCATGACAGGAGGTTGGGGTGGCCAGGGGCTCTTACTGAGGGGGGTTAGGGTCCAGAGAAGGGTGGGAGTCTCAGCTAGGGGTTCTTGGGCTCAAAGAGGCCCCCATGGGAAGTCCCTGGTTTGGAAATGGTTAGGGGTTTTTCTAGAGGTGGTTTGGGGACTAAATGTGTGGGCATCCTGGCTGTGGGGGCTTCTGCTTAGATAGTCAGTGTTCCTTCCTGGAGGGTCCCTTTCACACATCCACAGTTTCAGCTGCTGAACTGGGAGTCCCAGGTCCAGAGGGAACAGGAGGTGTCCCTGTTGTGAGGGAAACCCTGCACTGAGAGCTTCACAATACAGGGGAGATGCCAAGATGTGATAGGGTCTCTGGAGAGGGGTCCTGTGTCTGGAGTCAGGGTTACCTGCTGGGGAGTATGGGGCCAGGAGAGGGATGGGGGTGGGCTTTGGTCTGGAGTAGGGCAGGGGCCCTTGCTGGAGAATGGTGAGAGATTCAGATGGGGGCCCCAAGTCCTTGCTAAGGGAGCTCTACTGGAGGAAGGTCTTTAGTGATGGCTCCCTGAGAGGTGTGGAGATTCAGAGTCCTCGCTAGGGCGCCAGGGTCAGGAGGTTGTGCTGGGGTTTCCCAAGGGGTGTTCCCAGAAGGACATATCTGGAGAGTCAGGAGACATTGTTGGAAGAGATGGCGGCCCGAGCCCAGCGATAAGGGCAGGGGTTCTGGTAGGGCTGAGGTCCGGCCTGGGTCCTCCCTGGTCTCTGAGGACATCCTAGACCCAGAGGGGACTGGAGGGCCCTGGGTTCCCAGGGGGGTTAAGACCGAGGAACTGGGTCCCAGATGCTCGGTGGAAGGTACTCTGAGGGGAATCTTGGTCGCGAGAGAACTAGGGGTGTTTACCACTTAAGCAGAAGGGCTTGGTTGAGGGCTCCCCGAGGGGGGCGGATAGGAATGCGGGCCCTGGGTCCGGTTCCTTTCTGGGGGGTTTGGAGGGGGATCCTGAGCCCAGAGGGGATTGGGCTAAGGGTGTTTCACGAGGGCTCTCAGGTCTCGAGAGGGCGGGGACGAAGTGGGGGTCCCGGTTCCTCGCCGGCTTGGGGGACGCGGGCGGCGCTCACGTACCCACGGTGGTGACCAGCGTGCTGGCGTAGAAGAGAGCCGAGGCAAAGTCCCAGGCGGGCTCCGAGGCGTTGGCGAGCGCGGCGCGCCCCAGCCGTCCGGCCTCCAGCACCCGCTCCACGAAGGCGTCCAGGGCGGGCGCCGCCACGCACGGGCTGCGCCGCAGCAGCTGCTCCCGCAGCGTCTCCAGCTCGGCTCGAAACCGGGCTTCGTGCGGCCCCTCCAG